TCGTATAGATATGCAGTTGAGGTAGCTGATATCAGTTCAGAAAAAAAGGAGATTCAACACATCACCAAGCCAACGTGAAGTCAGACCCGCAGTGACAACTAGGTCGGAGCCGCAAAACAAAACGCCTGGCCTCCAATCTTCTGCATCACGCTCTGGGAAGCCAAGAGCTGCGCTCTGTCTGTTCAATCGGAGGCCGTCGTCAGCTTCTCCATATGCACGAGGTAGCCGCGCAGCCCCGAGCAGCTCTCCCCCTCCCTCCGCCTTCCACAGACACAGGCCCAGCCACCTGCTGGTTTGGCCACCACAGCAAGCAGCGCTGTCTGCAGCTGTTCGGCCGCCACAACAAGAGCTGCAGCTGTTCCTGCAGCCGTCGCTGCAGCAGGAGCATGCATGAGCAGCGGGGGGCTCCGGGACGCTCAGGACTGCAACAGAAGTAATGCAACACGCAAATGCGATGCAATAAACGAGACGACCGCGCCGTTCAAAGCTCATGAAAGACAAATGATAAAGGTGATGAACTCCATACTGCTGATTGTGGCTGCAAGCCGTGCGGTGGTGTCGATGGCGAAGGCAATCGCAGCTCCAACGATCGGATGCCTCAGAACAGAAATCCGGGGAGCATGTGCCGCTGCTGCGCATTGCTGCAGCAACTGAGTCCCTCGCTGCTGCCTCTGGAGAGCTGGAGACTTTCGCTTGGGGGAATCTGCCTGTATTTGCTGCTGTTGCACTCGCTGTTGCGCGGATCGACCCAGCAGGGCTGGCAGCAAGCCCAAACACTTCCCGTCCTGAGAGGCTGCAGGGGTAGACAGCCGTTCTACCAGCACCCAGCTCCCAACAGCGTGGGCCAAAACGCCTAAAATGCAACAAAGCACACTCTTCAAGCCACTGCAGAGGTGCTCTCTAATCAGTGAGAGAACCACGAGAGCATTTGTCTGCTATCGAGACTGCAGACTGAAAGGCAAGGGCCTCTTTCCTTTCTCGGTAGCAGCCAGAAATGCCGCTTTAGTTTTGTGGGTAACGATAGGGTGTACAGTGAAGCCATGGAGGTGCATGCCGAGTGGTCCCCTACCCTTCAAAGGCCTCCACAGGCAGCTGCTGCGGCAACTGGCCACTGCAGTGCCAATGACATGACGGGCTGCAGCGCCTTCTGCTATAAGTGCCCAATGGCTGGTTGCTTCCTGCGGCCGCTGCGAGACAGACAGCTGCTGCCCAGTATGTATACTGGCCTCAAGCTGGATGGAGGTCCCCACAACACCCGGAAATACCTTCACGTTTGGCACGTGAGACGCTTCTCTGGAACCTTCCTCTCCAGTGCCAGACTGTTTGCTTTGCGACTGAACAACACTTGCGTTGCCTGTGTCAACGACAACTGTAGCCGAGTCAGCTTCGCACCCATCCGCCGAGAGCGGAGCAGCCGGGACTGCCA